TTCTTGTAAAAAATACTCCAAAAATCTTTGTTTTATTTACAACTATGAAAAAACCTTTTAACAGCACAGTTTGGGAACCTCCCTAAAATTTTCATAAAATTATATATACCTTTCAAATGTTTGGGGTTGGTAAGGCTTTAATAATGTTTTTGAAATGAGTATCTTATGCTCACTAAGGCTGCATTTATTTGATCAAGAATACTGTAGAAATATTGTGAAATATTATTACCATTTAAAATTGCTATTCTATTTGAATATATTTTAAAAGGTAATTTATTCCTGTGATGACAAAAATCAAGCGTAGCGTTAGTTCTGGCAGGTCACGTTAGTCAAGCTCGCATTAGCTGACCTTCAGCTGATCCCCATCTACCTATGGGACTACGACACCTATCTAAGCATTCATATATATAAGGTCCCTCAGTATTATCAGCAGTTTTGCATTGCTCAATAGCTAATTACCCTCCTCCATCCCCAACTCCTCCTCTGTCAGTCAGGATTCAGCCTTCTGATTCTCCTTGAATCAGAATAATTCTAAAATGTGTACATAAAATGATTGAACTTTAACAATATCTGCAATACATTTATGTTAGTTCTGTTCTGTTTACCCTGGGGGGTTATTGCTGCTCTCCCTGCGCTCATCCATGCTAGGCTGCATGGAGGCGCAGGGAGTTCTTGCCCAGAACAGAACCATACCGCCAATCCAAACTGTATGCTAATTGTCAGTCATCTTTGACGATAGTGGTCCTGACAGAACTGAATTTTCATTACTCCAGTCTTCAATACCATAAGATTCCCATTATTGATTTTGAAAACAGTTGTGCTGCTTATTATACATTATAAACGTCTTTATATATATATATATATATGTGTGTGTGTGTGTGTGTGTGTGTGTGATTTTTTAGATAAGGAAAAAAATAATATGGCTTGATTTGAACAACACATCAATCTGGATTGATGTCATTTGGGGGTTTTGTTATTTTTAGCATGTAGTGTTTGTGTGGGGAAGACTGGTGTTGTTAGGTGTGTGGCACTGCTCAACCTTGAACAGCGTTGCAGGGCAGATGGGCTTAGTGGGGTTCAGTCATCTGTTTTCCCATGCAGAGGCAGAGTTAGCCGAGTAGAGCAGTCCTAATGATACAGTGCTTTCTGACTGCACCCAGCACATGAGAGGGATTAGCGCTCAACGCTAACAAGGTCAGATCTTAATTAGACAGGCTTCTATAACTAAGTTCAACCGGCTCAAGATGAGAGCAAAAGACAAAAGTCCTATATGACATAACGTTTGGGCAGGCACTTCTGGTTGTGCTCCTCTCCCCTTTTTCCAACAATCTCAGCCAAACCAGTGAACTTGTGGCATGTATTAAACTGGCCAATTGTTCCCTGTCTGAGATTTGATTTCACAGGCTTGACTAATGAAATACTTCATCCTTGCCTGCCCCTCTGACTGATGAGGAGTTAATTAGAAAACTAACAGAACCTCTCAGGAGAGGGAAAGCCCCAGGCTTTGGACACAACAACAATCAGAGGCATTTTCTGTTTCAATATCAGCTTGTTTTTGTAAACCAAATCACATTTTTAAAGGGACAGTTCAATCAAAACTGAAAATTCTGTCATTATTTACACACACTCATGTCGTTTTCAACCAGTATGTGAAGAGGATAGTATGTCCAAATTCACAGTATTCATAAAAACAGTGGGCGAAAAGTACCCAGATGACCTACTTCTTCCAGCAAAGTGTGCATCAGATGGACACTTTACTGTCCCATGATGCCACAGGACAAGAGTTAATGGCAGTGAATCGACACAACTACTGCTGGTAGGTCACATGATAATGACAACATGAGTAAACATGTTACAAAGTAACATTATTTATTCAAAAGAAGTACCTACTAAGAAAGTATGTGATTTTGGACACAGATGATTACTTTCAATGAACTGATTGAACCAGTTTGTGAATCAGACTGATCTGATTCTACAGTTCAACTCAGATTCAATGATCCAGTCAACATGACTTCAGAGTTCACTGGAGGAGAATTAACAGCGAATAATGAATAAAATTTTGTTCAGTTTTTCACACAAAGCTTTTGCATGGCATCAAGAAGACTTTTTTGTTGTCACAGTGAACTGTTGTTGCATGGAAATCTCCATTTGTGTTCCATGGAAAACAACAGCATATGGGTTTTAAATAACATCAGGGTGAGTAATAATTAGAGCATAGTTTCAATATTTCAGTGTTTTGCTCTGTGTGAGTCACAAATGGTCAGCACAATAACTTCTAATGCAAAAATCACAGGGGAAATTTTAAAGGAAAGTCCTTTGGAATTTTAATCTAATAGCATTGTATTGTATCTTGTCTTATCTCTGTTTTCACAGCAGGTGTATGCGTCCTCCACCCAGCAGATGGCGCTGCCCAGTCCCAACACCACCACCACCACCACCAGCAGTAATGGAATCAACAGTGGTGGGGACCAGCTGAGCAAAACCAACCTGTACATCCGTGGTCTCCATCCAGAAACCACAGACCAAGACCTAGTCAAGCTCTGTCAACCGTAAGTGTCCTTTAACAATCCCTGTTTCGTGTGGAAATTAATTTAGGATTAGAAATGGTGGAGGCAAGTAAGGTCAGGTTCATAATCAGTAGTTGGTGAGAAACTCAGGATGTATAATTAGACCAGAAAATGCATTAAAAAACAGAAGGTGTGTGTGGGAGAGAAAATCTCAGACTTTGAGCGTCCTGATTTGACCCTTTATGAGGAGGTTAGAAATTCACTGCTGGCAGATAATTCGCATTCATTTCAACATGAAGTGTTTTTGAATAAGCCAATACAGCATCTTGATTTAGTAGACGTTGTGTAAATCACACATTTCTATTCATGAAATGTTTTTGATATTTTATAACTTTTTGGTGCAATGCCTGAGGGGAGCTCATTCATCGTTGTATTGGTTCTCATTCCATGTGTTTTTGTTGGTACATAGGGAATTCATCTTTTGAAATAAAGTAAATAAAAAATAAAGCTGCGTTCACACTAGCAGCGACTTATGCTAAGTTCACACTACAGGATTTTAAGCCCGATTTGCAGGGTCGGGCTGTGATCGGGGGAAAATCAGCGGGTGATCGGCACTCAGCAATCTTTATGTGTGAACTACACAACGAGTACACATCAAAGAGGCTCGCTGACGGCAAACAAATATCTAGCATGCCAAATATCTGGACCGGTCGGCCAACACGACATCACGTGGTGTCATGTGTTGTGACGAGCTACAGCCAATGAGAGAGCAAGGCATGGGTTGAGGTCACCGGAAGAAAAACAACAGCAGCAACATGGCTTAAAGAAAAGTTTGGACACAATAAATGGAGCAAAATCATTCATCGAGCAAACAGCTTGCAGCGCAAATTTTTTTACGACATCCATTTTCAAATAAACAACTCCTGTTTCACATGTTGTTTCGTGACATTCCTGTTCCAATTCTCGCATGTGTTTTCATAACAAAACGTGGTTTGTAGAGTCGTTGGTTCAGCAGTAGCGGTTTTTGGCACGGGCGAACCGGGCAGCCGCCCGGGGCGGCATTTTTTCATGATACATGGGGGGCGGCACAAGCAGTTAAAAAAATAATAATAATCCTCTGCGCCGCCGCCGCAAAGCGGTTTTCTATTATCTATCATTTCACTGTGTGGGGAATTGGCAAATTGGCGCCCCTGCTTGCTGAGAAGGTGCCGTGCACAGAAGCTGTGTGAGAAGGGGAAAGGGGAGCGGGGCGCGGCGCGGGGGACAGTTCACCTCTGGGTCTCTCCCAAATGGAACGGACAAGGAGGGGGGTCCACTGTATAGAGCAATACTCTAATGGAATTAGTGGGCTAAAGTCAGTCACACCTCGACTTTCTTCCAAATAACGCACATTTCATTCATAATATTATAAATACAGGCCTATAGTTCCTGCACATTTTTGTTTTTCTGAATTGTGTGAAATGGCTAATAAAAATAGGTAATACAAAACGATTATGTGGTCACCAAGGTGAATTGGTTTAGTCTTGACTTCTGGTCGTGAGTGACAGTGTTGGGGGGATGGGAAATCTGTTGATTGTCGAGTGCCAAATAAACACAGAGATGGACAGGAAAAGGTCAAAGCCATCAGGTGCCCAATTTAGAAAAAAAAGAAAAGAAGAAAGAGAAACGAGCAAAAGATAAAGGTATGGTGTGTTTCCTGTTGTAATTGCAATAGTTAAATAACTGGATTCTCTTAAGTGTGTTTTTCAAATGTTGTTTTTTTTGGAGGGGGGTGGGCGCTCGAAGGGGGTCTCGCCCAGGGTGTAATTGAATGTAGAACCGCCACTGGTTGGGTGACAGAGTTGTTGTCAGCTCGTGTAGTGTGTAACCCCCTGTTGCGGATCATTTACAGAGTCACGTAGTATGAACACCACAACGACTTAAAGACAGCCAATCAAGTCATGT